AACATTATTGGTGGGTGACAGGGAGTGATATCAGCTGATAAGATCCGATAAGAGGCGTCAGAAGGGGAGGGCCACCGAGTCCATAGTGCGGGACAGCAACAGTGGGACGTTGGTTCCAAGGTATGGTATAGGCTATGGGACACGATTGTTATTGGTGGGTGACAAGAAGGGCTAGCAGCTGATAAGATTTGATAAGGGGAGTTAGAATGGTAAGGTCACCATACTCACGCGGACACAGCATCAGCTAGGCGTTGATTTCAGAAAATGATATAGAGTGGGAGATGGGGACATCGACGGCAGGAAATGAACTCATCGGTGGTTCGCCTAAAACGAAAGCTCAGGGAAATTCGAGGAGAACCGAAAGTCTGAATAATGTGGCACTTCATGCGTTCAATAGCTCTTTTTACTTTCAAACTTTCAATTACTGATGAGAACGAATAACAAGGGCTCATAGTACCTACTAATAATTATACTTCAGCGAGCGGATTGCATGCTAATTGAAAAGGGAAACGTTCATCGGTAGGCATTTCGGTGCAGGTAATGGAAACGAAATCTGCTCTTTTACTAGCGATTCATACTGCGTTGTATTGGCCGACTACACATTGTATCTATATCTACAGATTTATGTTTTGTATGGGCGTATGGCGCGGACCACGCCCTGCTGCAAATAGAAGCGTGTGCTAAGTAGTGCAGGATCCCAAGCTTTGCTTACCGTTTCAAATGTTTTGAGCGTTTTGGGCGAAAAGCAAAGTTTAGGTGTCGTTCTAGGGTTCAGTCGTTTCGAGCGTTTAGAAGTACCAGCGGTTTGTGGGAAGGAAGTGTGTATCGATCTAGCGCTTTGAGCGAAACCCTCAGAATGCTGGCGTTTCTCCCAGAAAGTTCAAAACGATGAAAACGCTAGATCGACACCTCTTCGTCAAAGATTCGAAGACATACCTCGCAATTGCACATTGTGGATAGTGGTTCAGTTACAAACCTATAATCGCCAAATGACTTTTGAGGGAAGCAATACGCAAAAAATAATTATGGGGAACACCATAAGTGAGGATGTGGCAGATCTCGAGACGAGTTTTCTGGACCTGCTCGTTTTATGCCGCGAAAGCGATATGTTACCGCCTCTGGCTACTGGTCTCTTCGCATCATCCAGTGCTGATACCATCTAACAGTGGAAAAAAGAACTAAAAACGCTGTCAAAAAATTGAACTCGTACAGAAAACAACTTTAAGTTTCTGTGGGCGAGACATCAAGGAAGGACCGCCACTTCTGAGAGGCGTAGCACCTTTGTTACTTATTGTGAAGCAGTGTACGTGGGATAATCTAAGAGAATGAAGGCATACTACTTGTAAAAAGAGGGACACCTACGAGTTGGTTGAGCACGGGGACTGTCTTTATCGGTCCTGCCACTAAAAACGCTGGCCTTTCCTCCGAAACGCTATATCGACACCCTAGTTTCCTTGTCGTACAAAACAGTCCCATTTTGTCGCAATAGTTCGTCTGGAACACGGATCACTCAATTTTGCACAAGGATCTTTTCGTACCCCAGAAATCTCACCACTTGTTTCCACGCCATTTCCTGGGTTTTTGTGTTGAGTGGATGTCACATTGGAAGCGTGCGAAGCAACCATTGTGAAAATATGCTTCATTATTTTTTTTTCATTTTCAGTGACCTTTCTTTATTACTACATTTTGGTTTATGATTAGGAGAGAACAGCTCTTATTATTGGACTAGTGTCCTTTGTACTGGGTTTGCCCATAAGTGATGGCGTTTTTTCGTGCATAGCATTCTGCGTGGAGAGTGGAATGTTTCCGCATTTCTTTCATTTATTTATTAACTTATGTATTTATTTGTTTATTTATTTATTTGGTTAGTTAGTTAGTTATCGTATTTCGTGCTAACTATGCTAATTTTCAGAGAGAAGCACACTGTCGAAGAGTTTGTTGAAGGACTATCCCATTTCGACAAGGAGGGCAATGGCCTGATCAATGTTGCGGAGCTACGTCATCTGCTTACTACCCTAGGTAGGTATTTGTAGAAATCATTCCATTCAGTTTTGGTACTTCTCATATTTCAAGGTGAACGACTCACTGATGAGGAAGTCGATCAGCTTCTTGCGGGACATAACGATTCTCATGGAAATGTGAATATTGCCGACTTTGTGCGCAATGTGATGAATTCTTGATCTTTTTATGTACTTCTACTTGTTTCCCAGTACTTATGTTCTGTGACCAGTAATAATGTGCCTCAATCTCAATCAGATGGGCATTCTCTTGGTTTTTGTCATCATTAACACTTAACATTTTCACTCGTACGATTGCTCTTCGATATTGATACCATTTGCTTTGTTACGTTCTTTCTGCTTCACATCTTCATTCCATGAGCCATGTATTAAACAGTAATTCTTCGAACAGTATGCAATAAATAATGATCTTCCGTTTTTTTTTCTACAAGGATGTTAGGTTAGCCTCCTATTTATCGTGAAGTTGCAGTGATAGGTGCACTTAAGCAGCGTTCATAGTTCGCGATGACGCACTGCAACGCGCGTCGACGCGCCACCACTGCAACGGTACCTCACTGCTAAAGACGCGACCCTCGTAATGGTTGCGCGCCGACGCGCGTTACATCGCGTTGAAGCGCGTCATCGCGAAGTCTGAACGTTGCCACACTAAGGAACACGATCGAGTTTCAGGAGTTATTAGGACACTGGCTGCGATGTCAGGACCTGGTGGATCTGGTGTTAATGATTCCTCTAGTTATGTGGATGATGCTGATGGTGGTGATGGCACCTCTATGGAAGCAAGTCGTGACATAGCCCATGTGAAAGCTATCCTCGAAGAGGCTGGAGTGACCGATTACGATCCACGCGTGGTGCATTTGCTTCTTGATGTGAGCTCGACTTTATAGCTGAATTATATAGCTGCATCAGGTTACCATGGGTAAACAGACATTGTTTGGCGTATTTTCGGTTCGCTTAGGCTGCCGGGATGGTCAAGGGGCTGGGTTTAACGCAACTGCAACCCGCTCCCTGTCAGTAGCTGAAGCAGAGGTGCGACAACGGTTGTTTGAAAACGAGCCTCAAACGAAGTCTGCCTCTCCCTTCTCTCTCTCCCTCCTCTTCTCTAACACGCCCATCACTCTCAGCGAACAAGACTGTAGGTCATGCAGATTGCATGATTCAGTTTTTCGAATAGAAGGCGCTGTTGGCTCTATTGCTATCTGTATCTCTGTCTTTAGTAACAAAACGGATTCCAAAGTTTTTATGCCAAGAAATTCATGAGCTGTTATCTCTCGAGCTTCCTGGAACGAAAAACACCTCATAAGTGAGAACTGCTCACGCTGGAAATGTGTTCGCAACAGGGACAGATTTGTTCGACTCAGCTCAAGGCTGAGTCGAATTCCTTTGAGTCTCGCTACTTTAGATGCCGCTGCTGATTTTGCAGAATGGAAAGCAGTAA